CCCAATCAAAATCCCAGCTAGTGACCCAAACAGATACCTTACTAAAGAAACTATGCAGATGGCAAGTCATTATATGAAAAGATGTTCCACATTCTAGGCCATTAGAGAATTGAGAATTAAAACCACAGTGAAATATCATTATACACCTATAAGACATTCAAGATCCAAATAACTGACAACACCAAATGCTAACAAGGATAAGCAGCAAGGTATATGCAACAAGCGTATACTCAACGCTGGTGGGGATGGAAAATGGTACAGTCACTTTGGAAGACACTTTGTCAGTAGCTCCTTCAGCTCAGTTGGTAGAGCAGAGGACTGCAGGAACGGAAGACACTTTGCCAATTTCTTACAAAACTGCTCCTTGGTATTTACCCAAATGAGTTGAAAACTTACATCCACATGAAAACCTGCACACAGATGTTTATCACAGCTTTATTCATAATTGCCAAAACTTGGACTTAACCAAGATGTCCTTCAATAGGTAAGTGGATAAATAAACAGTGGTACATCCAGACAGTGGAATAGTATTTGTTGCTAAAGAGACATGAGCTATCGAGCCATGAAAAGACATGGAAGAAACTTAAATGCATATGACTAAGTGAAAGAAGCCAATCTGAAAAGACCACATCCTGTATGATTTCAACTATATGACATTCTGGAAAAAGACAAAACTATGGAGGCAGTAAAAGGATCAGTGGTTGCCAGGGGTTAGAGGGGCGAGGGATGAATCAGGAGAGCTCAGAGGTTTACAGAGCAGTGAATCTCCTCTGTGTGATACTTTGGGGGTGGGTGGATATATACCATTATACATTTGTCCAAACCCATAGGATATACAGGGGCTTCCCTGGTGGCTCAGATAGTGAAGAATCTGCCTGTAATGCAGGAGACCCTGGTTCAATCCCTGGGTTGGGAAGATCCCTTAGAGAAGGGAATGGCTACCCACTCTAGTATTCTTGCCTAGAGAATCCCATGCATAGAGGAGCTTGGCGTGTTATAGTCCATGAGGTTGCAAAGAGTTGGACATGACTGAGTGACTGACACTTTCCATAAAATGTACAACACCAAAAGAGAATAATGACGCATCAGTGTTAAGTTCATTGATAGTAACAAAGATGCCCTCTAGTGAGGACGTTGACAGTGGGAGTCTGTGCCTGTGTAGGGGCAGGGGGTATGTGGGAACTCTTTATATTGTCCCTTCAATTTTGTTAGAAGCCTAAAACTGCTTTAAGAAAATAAAGGTTATCAATTAAGGAAGATATTTATCTATTTGTCTGCAGCAGGTCTTAGTTTTGGTACATGTGATCTTTAGTTTCAGGCACGTGGGCTCTAACTCTCTGACTGGGGATTGAACCCAGGCCCCCTGCACTGGGAGTTCAGAGTCTTAGCCACTGGACCACCAGGGAAGTCCCTTAATTTTTAAAAAAGTGAATAGCTAGTGATTTTAAAACAAATCTATCTGGGTGTGTATGTACAAGTCCAGTGTTTTTCACTGAACTTGGCGGCCGTATAGGAAATCTGATCCCCAGCCGAGTGCAGGGGAAAGAGAACCTCAGGAGTGGGGACAGCCAGCCCTTCCTTACCCCGTGCGGATTTCAGCAAAGGGCCATGGGCCTCAGCTCAGCTCCTGACATTAACACACATCGGAGCTGCTCCGGGCCCTGCCCTGCAAACATCTGACAAACGCTTGTCTCCGGCTGCCCCCAGCTCCACATCTACTTCTGGCCAGAGAAGGGGGCGTTACGGGGTCAAATGAGGAGAGGAAAGGGCACAATGGGGGAAGCAGCGTGGGCTGAATGTGAACTGGGAGCAGAGTGGGAGGAGGGATGGAGAGAGGCAGGGGAGGGGGATGGGAGGAAGGAGAAGAAATTCAGGAGTGTCTTCTCATGTGTCGAAGAAAATGTCACATCAGGCAGGACTTGATAATTACTGTCATTTGTGGGATGTTTCAGTACAAGAGAACCAAGTAATTATGATGTCAGGAGCTCAGTGCCTTCCTCTAAATCAGCACCCAGTAACCAAGCGTGTACAGTTTCCCATCCTCGGGAGCTGCCTGGGCCTTAGTCACACCATGGGCTGCCCGCCAGAGCCCTTTGGGGAACCACAAGTTCTTCCTCATGAGGTTCAGTTCATTTCAATTCAGTCGCTCAGTCATGTCTGACTCTTTGCGACCCCATGGACTGCAGCACGCTAGGCCTCCATGTCCATCACCAACTCCTGAAACTTATTCTAACTTATGTCTATCGAGTCAGTGATGCCATCCAACCATCTCATCCTCTGTCGTCCCCTTCTTCTCCTGCCTTCAATCTTTCTCAGCATCAGGGTCTTTTCAAATGAGTCAGTTCTTTGAATCAGGCGGCCTAAAGATTGGAGTTTCAGCTTCAGCATCAGTCCTTCCAACGAATATTCAGGACTGATTTCCTTTAGGATGGACTGGTTGGATGTCCTTGAAGTCCAAGGGACTCTCAAGAGTCTTCTCCAACACCACAGTTCAAAAGCCTCAATTCTTTGGTGCTCAGCTTTCTTTATAGTCCAACTCTCACATCCATACACGACCACTGGAAAAACCATAGCTTTCACTAGATGAACTTTTGTTGGCAAAGTAATGTCTCTACTTTTTAATATGCTGTCTAGATTGGTCATAGCTTTTCTTCCAAAGAGCAAGTGTCTTTTAATTTCATGGCTGCAGTCACCATCTGCAGTGATTTTGGAGCCCCCCAAAATAAAGTCTCTCACTGTTTCCATTATTTCCCCAACCTCGTGTGGTTATAACAACCTAATAGGATGTCACATGTGTACCAGGCCATCACCCCTTCCACATCTGCCTTGTCCTAGGAGGGGAACAGAGGCCTGTGATCTGATGGAAAGGGGAGAGGGCAGGGTTATCACTGTTCAGCCCAGCAGAGCCCAGCCAGCCCCAAGGGGAGATGGCCAGACTCTGACACCCCTCCTTGATCAGTTACTGGGCGTGGATGGTCCTGTGAAGGGCATGGGCTCGGCTGAAGCTGTTCCCTGTAGCTACAGCAGGCCCGAGAGGAGTGGACAGCCACGGCGGCCACAAGCCCTCACTAGGCAGATGAGGCCAGGGCGCTGCATCTGCGGGTCCTCTGAGTGCCAGTGCCAAGAAGTGTCCCAGGTCCCTGCTCTTTTCAAGGCTGATTCATCTCACCCAGCTTCTGAACCAAATAAGGGCAACTGCACCGTGGCTGTCCCTCTTTGGGCTTTAACTGCAGGTCTGTGCTTCAGTTTAGGGAACGGCAAGCACCTACTTGACACAGACTGTCCTGTGTGACCCTGGGTGTGGGCCTCGGGAGGGGCTCAACCAGGGGCTGGTTTCCATCTGAGCTCCTGCCCAGAAGTAAGCAGGAAGGATGGCAGGCCTGAGCCCACATCTGGTGGCTCACATTTCCAATAAGTCCTGAGATCATTTTCATAATTTCAAAGCATCCACAAAGGGCAGGAGGTGTTAACCATCCACAGAAGAGCTTCTGAAATACAGTCAAGACATCTGGAGACAGAATTGGTCTGATCTGCCACTTGGTTTGGCCCCACCTCCAACTCTCTGCACCCAGGGCACCCATTGACCCCAGGCTCAGCCACAGCACCCCCCCGCCCCCGCCCTGGGGAGGTGACCTGGATGGCCACACCCAGCTTACAACCAGGTCTGAACCACATGGTCCAGGCTTGTCCTTGACCCCAGTGATGTCTGAGCCCATGTGGTCACAGCCAAACTGATCTGACTCCTCCTTCCCCTTCTGGACTCAGATGAAGCACAGTGCTTGGTTCTGTTTCCCTAGGTGACTGCTCCATGAGAGCTCCCTGAATTATGGGAGTTAATCGTGCCGTTAACGACACCTGGGGGCTTCCCTCATGGTTCAGATGGTAAAGAATCTGCCTGCAAATGCAGGAGACCTGGGTTTGATCCCTGGGTTGGGAAGATCCCCTGGAGGAGGGCATGGCAACCCACTCCAGTATTCTTGCCTGGAGAATTCCATGGACAGAGGCGCCTGGCGGACTATAGTCCATGGGGTCTCACAGAGTCGGACATGACTCAGCAACTATTCACACTAACTCCACCTGGGAGACAGGGGAGACCAGAGGGGCTGCTGATGAATTTCTTGCTCTTCCTAGAGACCCCCCACCTCACCGCCACCCTGTGGACTGCTCTGCATAGGCATATTTCCGACATGTGTGTTTGTATGTGTGGTGAAGGGAAGGGGTTTCTCCCATCAATAAACAATTCCTCGCCACCAGCTGGGTATCCTACAGTTCAACTCAACTCTGACACTGTCCACTCAGAGATCGACAGGTTAAGGGCTCGATCAAGATTGCCATTCTCCACTCAAACTTGCGGGGCCAGTCCCAAGTTCAGATTATCACCTGGGCTTCTGACCAACTGGCTATAGATTGCAGGTTCCCTGGGAGTTAGTAATGGACAGGGAGGTCTGGCATGCTGTGATTCATGGGATCGCAAGGAGTCGAACACGACTGAGCGACTGAACTGAACTGATGACCCCCTCCTTGGGTTCAATTCATTTGCTAGAGTGGTTCACAGAACTCAGAGAAACACTGTACATTAGATTATTGGTTTGTTGTGAAAATCTACAACTTAGGAACAGCCTGATGGAAGAGATGCAAAGTGTGTGGGGAGGGCTGTGGAGCTGCCATGCCCCTTCCAGAGTCACCATTGTCCCAGCATGTCCAGCCCAGAAGCCCTCTGGACTCTCCTTTGGGGTTTTTATGCAGCTTCATTACAAAGGTATGATGGGTTAGACCATTGGCCTCTGGTGACTGAATTGCATTTCTAGCCCCATCTCCTCCCCAGATGTCTGGGGGATGGGACTGAAATCTCCATGCCTCTAATCTCTTGCTTGGTTCTCCTAGCCACCAACCCCATCCTTAAGGACTTTCCAAAGGTCACTCATTAACATAACAAAAGTCACCTTTATCCCGCTCCTTGCTTAGGAAACTCCAAGTGTTTTGGAGCCCTACGCCACAAATTACCGAAAGACGGAACACACGTGACCTTGTTTCAAAGGACAGTTTTTGTAGATGCAATCAATTTCAGATGAATCATGAGTTATACCAGGCCCTAACCCAGTGACTGGTGTCCTTATAAGGCTCGTCACCATTCCCACACTCACCTCCCAATGCAGGAAACTGGGGGACTCTTCTGTGGAAAAATGTATGATTCTAATACCAGTTCCTCTCATTCTTCTGTCCAAGTCATTCATCCACTCTGAGTCGATGTGTAGAAAAGCTTTGACCAACCTAGACAGCATATTAAAAAGGAGAGACATTACTTTGCCAACAAAGATCCCTCTAGTCAAAGCTATGGCTTTTCTAGTAATCATGTATGGATGTGAGAGCTGGACCATAAAGAAAGTTCGTGCTGAAGAATTGATGCTTTTGAACTGTGGTGTTGGAGAAGACTGTTGAGAGTCCCTTGGACTGCAAGGAGATCAAACCAGTCAATCCTAAAGGAAATCAATCGTAAATATTCATTGGAAGGACTGCTGTGGAACCTGGAACTCCAATACTTTGGCCACCTGATATGAAGAGCTGACTCATTGAAAAAGACCCTGATGCTGGGAAAGATTGAAGGCAGGAGGAAAAAGAGATGACAGAGGATGAGATGGCTGGATGGCATCACCATCTTGATGGACATGAGTTTGAGCAAGCTCTTATAGTTGGTGATGGACAGGGAAGCCTGGTGTGCTGCAGTCCATGGGATTGCAAGGAGTCAGACATGACTGAGTGACTGACCTGAACTGAATTGAAACTGGACATCTCAGAACAGAAATTGTATCATATGGATGTTGTCAGATGCATAGGCAATCATGAATGTGAGAATTCTCAAGACCCAAAAAGTACTGCACGGTGGTCCTCATTATAGTTTACATTATGACTGTGTCATTCTATCTGTTTATGACCAAATTTGACCTCTCTCAAAATTTAAACAAAACCCTGGTGACATGTACAACTACGTCCCATAAGACCACAACCTTCTCAGCAATTCATTTATCACTGGATATTTAATTGACTACAGAACTCCCTAAAAATAATTCAACATAAACGGAGCCTTTAAGGAAATATTTCTCTTGTTATGCTTTGTACGAAATAACTGTGGGGATAAAAGTAACAAATAACCCCTTCTACCCACAGACGATTCTCTTGACTCAAGAGGAGCAAAGCAAAATGTCATCCCCAGATTTGGCACCAGTATGCGTGGCCAAGGGTCCAATACTGAACAAGTTTCCCTAGCTCATCGGGCATCTGTCAGCATGCTCACGGAAATCAAACGAATGAACTCACAGGCATTAGCTCAGATAAACACCACCTGCCTCTTCATTTTATAAGATGGCTTTTTAATCCCTCCACGTTGGAAATGTTCTTCCTAAACACCGAGTACTTCTTGAGGAACACAGTTCCTGATGAGAAGGAAATCCCCCTCCCACCTCGGCCTGTTGCTTTGACAGGTGTTAATTATACTCTTGATCAGAGAGAAACATCTGCACACTGCAGCCTGGGGGGAGGCGGCACTTTGCGGTTCAGCAGGCAGAGGATAGGAAGTTGCTGGAGAGACTGACTTCCTGACCGCGTGGCAGCCATCACCGGGGTTTCCCATCACGGTGGCTCCCCAAAATCTCTGGAGGGCAGCTTCAGGCAGAAGCCCCCAGATTCATCAGCTTTCCTCCTCTGCATATGCTGTTTTCCCTTCTCTTTCTACAGTCAGGTCCCTTGAATTGTTTCACCACACCATCCTGGACTGGCCATTCTGACCATCTTTTCGTAGGCTCCTGGCATTATTTAGTGGCAGTGATAACCTTGACCTCACATGCTGTTTTTACCCCACTTAGATTTCTCCCTAAAAATATATTTATATGTTTGGCCACAGGGTGCTGCCTAGATCTTTAGCTTTCCTGAGGGGGTTGCTCAAGGTACAAAATACAGGCTATATTGGGACTTCGCTGGTGGGCCAGTGGCCAAGACTCTGAGTTCCCAAAGCAGGGGACCTGGGTGAGATCCCTGGTTTGGGAACTAGATCTTGCATGCCACAACTAAAGATTCCACATGCTGCAACTAACCCAGCGGAGCCAAATAAATAAATAATTTTAAAAAAAAAAAGAATATAGGCTGTTACCAGTGCTTTTTTTTTTTAATTAAAAAAAAAATCTAATTCCAAAATACATCTAGCCCTGAGGAATTGACCACTTGTACTTGGGTGACACTGGACAGCTGCCTTGACTTTGGGCACCAGACTCAGGCAGACACTCATCAGACAGACAAGAGCCATCCTGATGTCTCCACTCCCCAAGCATTGCTCCTTGAGACAGGATGAGGTGGACACGACTGGCTGCACCGCTCATGGCGGGTCACCTCCCCTTCGGTCAGGTAGAGTCTCTACTTCCTAACCTCTAGTCCTGTCTGCTTCTGGCTCTGAAACATCAGCTGTGAATCCCAGCATCAGGGACCCCAATCATACGTTGACCCCTAACCCCCTGTGTGGCCAATTTGGAGATGGGGCCCTTAGGAAGCCATTAAGGTGAAGTGAGGCCACAAGAGTGGGTCGCTGATCCAATGGGACGAGCGTCCTTATGAGAAGACACGCCCGAGAGAAGTGCTGCTCACCCCCTCCCCCGTCTCTCTGTGTCTCTCTTTCCCTCCCCCCACCTCCTTCCTGTGTGCACCGTGCAAAACTCAGGTGAGGACCCAGCGAGGGGTGGCCACCTGCAAGCCAGGAAAAGGGCTCTCATCAGAAACCGACTCAGCCAGAACCTTCATCTTAGACTCTCTAGCCTCCAGAACTGTGAAAATACAAATTTCTAATGTTAAACCACTCAGTTAGAGAAGGCAATGGCAACCCACTCCAGTACTCTTGCCTGCAAAATCTCATGGATGGAGGAGCCTGGTGGGCTGCAGTCCATGGGATTGCGAAGAATCAGACACGACTGAGCGACTTCACTTTCACTTTTCACTTTCATGCATTGGAGAAGGCAATGGCAACCCACTCCAGTGTTCTTGCCTGGAGAATCCCAGGGACGGGGGAGCCTGGTGGGCTGCCGTCTATGGGGTCGCACAGAGTCGGGCATGACTGAAGCGACTTAGCAGCAACAGCAGCAGCAGCGAGCCACTCAGTACTTCGTCATGGCAGCCCTGACTAAGACAGGTAAGTCTAGTTTAACAGATAAGAAGCAAGCTCAGAAAAAAAAAAAAAAAAGAAGCAAGCTCAGAAAGGTGACACGAATCTTAAAGGCTAAGTGAGATGCTAACAAGCAACTGGGGGAGGGGTCCCCCTTTTTGCCCAGAGGGGTGAGGGCTCAGAGGGGCAGGGAGAGGCTGGTGGGCCTGAAGAGCAGGGCAGTGCCTGCGTGCAGGTGAGGGCTCAGGATGTCATCCTAAGGCAAGCCTCTGTTTTGAATAAAAAACGGGGGCATAAGTTTCCACATGAATATGGATAATAAATGAGTCTAATTCTGGGAAATCAAGTTTTGAGGGTGCAAGCCTGTGTGCCAGGAGTGGGTGGCAGAACCTCAAAAGACCTCAGTCCTGAGAATGTCAGGGACACCCACCTGGTGAGCAGTACCTGAGGTTCTTGTCACCGCGACACAGATGCCAAAGAACACATATTATGAAGACCACCGAAGAGGTAGGTGAGAAATGCTGAACCACACGGTGGAAAGAAGAGCGCTTCCTAAGCCATCAACCCGTACAGAAAATCAGCTTCCACTGTTCACAGCTAACCTCTTCTCTGTGGAAACTGGGATACGCCACAACATTTTCATCTTTCTTCCTACTGTTTTCTGTGTTAACCACCTACTTCTTGATCTCAGGCAGATCTGCAACATACCAAGGTCCTAGGCTGGAAGAGGATGAAAAAGAGTTCTCAGCATCTTTGTCCTTACTTGTCTTCCATTGGCTGATTTTCTTGTTCCCACTGGCCCTGACTTTTGTGTCCTTGAACAAATGTCTGAAGGGACAACTCCCCTCCCATGCAAATGAGCACTTCTGTTCCTCTGGCAGCCACAGCGAGAATCTTGAGTGGGGGTTAAAAGAAAATGACATCCGGGCTGCTTCCTAAAAGCTTCCTCCCTAATACAGAGTTCCTTAAATGATAATTGCTGACTTGGTCCTGTTATCAGCCACCTCCTCCACCCCCTCAAGCAGCTGAGCTTAAAAACTATCCACTGATTGCCTCCCTGGAGTTGGCTTTTAAACTCTTCCAGCGTTGGTGATGCGTGCAAGCATGCGTGAGTGCTAAATCGTTTCAGTCATGTCTGACTCTGTGCAACCCTATGGATTGTAGCCCGCCAGGCTCCTCTGTCCGTGGGATTTTCCCGGCAAGTATACTGGAGTGGGTTGCTGTACCCTCCTTCAGGGGATCTTCCCAAACCAGGGATCTAGCCCCACGTCTCTTACGTCTCCTGCACTGGCAGCTGAACTCTTTGCCACTACCACCACCCAGGAAACCCAATCCTGGTAATAAGGTATGTTTTTATGCATGCAAGCATGCACACAGCTATTTATTTAACACTATGTGCAAGACAGTGAAGACATCGGAGGAAGATATCGCTGCCCTCCAGCAGGAATGTGTGTGAATATGTGAAAAACTAATTTGCAAAAGCAAGAGTTGAATAATACCAGCACCAAGGGAAGAGAGAAGCCCTCAGACAGAGATAGCTGCATCTTTAATAAATCTGTCACCCCGCCGGACTCAGACACTCATGACAGCTCCGAGTGCTCAAGGCAAAGACTGCAGACCAGAGAAGGAGGGAGGCATTCAGCTACTGGGATTCTTAGCGTGAAAGGAAGATTGGCCTTTCGAAGCCATCAGCAGGAACAAATGTTTCATTTGGAGCCCTGGCAGCCTGTCTGTACCAAATAAACAGCTTAAACAAATAGACCTTGATCTTGATGGTTTTTAAATGGGAGTGATGTTGATTTTCCCAGCGCCTGACTTTTGCAAAAATCACCCCATTTGAGCTCTAGAGCACTCTATTCCCCATCTCCTGGGGTAAATTGACTTTCAAATGAACGTAGCTGAACACCCAAATTGCTGTAAGAAGGATGAAGGCTGAGAAGTGCGCCTACCTCCTACACGGCCACGATGGCTTCTGAAGGAGTTTCTGTGACTGTTTTCAGACCATAGGTGCTGTACCCTTTTCTATCCCAGCAGACGTGAGAAGGCCAATGGAGCCAGATCTGGGTGAGGGCAGACTCAGGGCCAAGAAGCTGGATAGGGCATCCTCTGATCTGGAACCCAAGAAGTACCAGGAAAACCATCCTTTCTCCTTCTCACTTAACCTTTCACACAAAAGGAGAGAGGACTGAGTACTCAGAGTTGTGGTCCCAGCCCACACCTGGGGATGCGCGTGTAAAGGCCATTGGCTAGACTTTTACAGGGAGGACGGTTGGTCACTATATCCCTCCATCGCCCATCCATCATGGTGCCACCAAACATTTCACAAGCCCCTCCCACCACACACTTATTAACCTGGGTGCTGAGGAGAAGGAAGTAGAAATGAATGTGATAATGTCTTTGCAGTCAAGAATCTCGCGCATACACATGTAATGACATAACTAATGTAACACTCATAAAGCAGTCTCTTTCAAACTTGTGGCTGGGGACTTCCCCGGTGGTGCAGGGATTAAGAATCTGCCTGCCAGTGCAGGGGATGCAGGTTTGATCTCTGATCTGGGACGATCCCACAGGCTGAGGAGTGACTAAGCCCATGCACCAAAATGAAAGTCCTCGAGCCGCAACAAGAGAAGTCACCACAATGAGAAGCCCGGGCACAACAAAGAGTGGCCCCTGCTCGTCGCAACTAGAGAAAACCCACAGTTCAGCTCAGTTCAGTTCAGTCGCTCAGTCGTGTCCAACTCTTTGTGACCCCATGAATCGCAGCACACCAGGCCTCCCTGTCCATCACAAACTCCCGGAGTTTACTCAAACTCATGCCCATCGAGTCAGTGATGCCATCCAGCCATCTCCTCCTCTGTTGTCCCCTTTTCCTCCTGCCCCAAATCCCTCTCAGCATCAGGGTCTTCTCCAATGAGTCAACTCTCCGCATGAGGTGGCCAAAGTATTGGAGTTTCAGCTTCAACATCAGTCCTTTCAATGAACACCCAGGACTGATCTCCTTTAGGATGGACTGGTTGGATCTCCTTGCAGTCCAAGGGACTCTCAAGGGTCTTCTCCAACACCATAGTTCAAAAGCATCAATTTTTTGGCGCTCAGCTTTTTTCACAGTCCAACTCTCACATCCATACATGACTATTGGAAAAACCATAGCCTTGACTAGACAGAACTTTGTTGGCAAAGTAATGTCTCTGCTTTTTAATATTCTGTCTAGGTTGGTCATAACTTTCCTTCCAAGGAGCAAGCGTCTTTTAATTTCATGGCTAAATAAACCATCTGCAGTGATTTTGGAGCCCAAAAAAATAAAGTCTGACACTGTTTCCACTGTCTCCCCATCTATTTCCCATGAGGTGATGGGACCAGATGCCATGATCTTAGTTTTCTGAATGTTAAGCTTTAAGCCAACGTTTTCACTCTCCTCTTTCACTTTCATCAAGAGGCTTTTTAGTTCCTCTTCACTTTCTGCCATAAGGGTGGTGTCATCGGCATATCTGAGGTTATTGATATTTCTCCCGGCAATCTCAATTCCAGCTTGTGCTTCTTCCAGCCCAGCGTTTCTCATGATGTACTCTGCATATAAGTTAAACAAGCAGGGTGACAATATACAGCCTTGACGTACTCCTTTTCCTATTTGGAACCAGTCTGTTGTTCCATGTCCAGTTCTAACTGTTGTTTCCTGACCTGCATACAGGTTTCTCAAGAGGCAGGTCAGGTGGTCTGGTATTCCCATCTCCTTCAGAATTTTCCACAGTTTATTGTGATCCACACAGTCGAAGGCTTTGGCGTAGTCAATTAAGCAGAAATAGATGTTTTTCTGGAACTCTCTTGCTTTTTCGATGATCCAGTGGATATTGGCAATCTGATCTCTGGTTCCTCTGCCTTTTCTAAAACCAGCTTGAATACCTGGAAGTTCATAGTTCACATATTGCTAAAGCCTGGCTTGGAGAATTTTGAGCATTACTTTACTAGCGTGTGAGATGAGTGCAATTGTATGGTAGTTTGAGCATTCTTTGGGATTGCCTTTCTTTGGGATTGGAATGAAAACTGACCTTTTCCAGTCCTGTGGCCAGTGCTGAGTTTTCCAAATTTGCTGGCATATTGAGTGCAGCACTTTAACAGCATCATCTTTCAGGATTTGAAATAGCTCAACTGGAATTCCATCACATCCACTAGCTTTGTTCGTAGTGATGCTTTCTAAGGCCCACTTGACTTCACATTCCAGGATGTCTGGCTCTAGGTTAGTGATCACACACCGCAACAAAGACCCAGTGAAGCCAAAAATTAATTAATTAAAAAAACTTGTGGCTGAACCACTGGCTCCACAGTAATCAAGACAATGTGGTATCAGTAAAAGTAAAGATATGTGGCTCAATGGAACGAAACAGAATCCAGAAAGAGAACCATACCTGTGTGGTCCATTGACATTTTACTAAAGTGAAAAGATAACTTGTGGGGCAAGATTAGTCTTTTCAACAAATGGTGCAGAAACAATTAGATATCCATAAGCCAAAAAAAAAAAAAAAAAGGGAAGCTCAGCCCATATCTCACATCATACATAAAACTTAGCTAAAATATATCATAGACCTAAATGTAAAACCAAGACTATAAAACATGGAGTGAGTGTGTGCTAAGCTGCTTCAGTCATGTCTGACTCTAAGTAACCCTATGGACTACAGCCTGCCAGGCTCCTCTGCCCATAGGATTTTCCAGGAAAGAATATTGGAGTGGGTTACCATTTCCTCCTGTAGGGGATCTTCCTAACCCAGGGACTGAGCCTCATGCCTTAACAGGCAGGTTCTTTACCTTCAGTGCTACCTCGGTAGCCCCATAAAACATGGAGAATAAAAGGTAAAAGAAAATCCTTCTGACCTGAGAATTAGGCAATTTGGTTTTTTTGTTTTTTGTTTTAGATAAGACACAAAAAGCAGTTATCAAAACAGAAAAAAAAATTGAACTTCATCAAAATTAAAAACTCTTTGAAAGACACTTAAGAAAATGAAAAAACAAACCATAAACTGGAAGAACTATTTGCAAAACACATACATGATTTTTAAAAATTCAAAATATTTCTAAAATCTCAAAATTCACCAAAACAAGCTAATTTTTAAGTGAGGCAAAATATTTGAGCAGACACTTAAGTGAAGAGGAAATATGGATGGTAAATAGAACATGTAAAGATGTTCAACATCATTAGTCATAGGGAAATACAAATTAAAACTATGAGATATCACCACAATGACTAAAATTCATGTGTGTGTGTGTGTGTGTGTGTGTGTATGGAGAGAGAGAGAGAGAACTACTAAGTATTTGGTGCTGGAGAAGACTCTTGAGAGTCCCTTGGACAGCAAGAAAATCAAAGCAGTCAATCCTAAAAGGAAATCAACCCAGTTCATTAGAAGGACTGATGCTGAAGGTGAAGCTCCAATCCTTCGGCCACTTGATGTGAAGAGCCAACTCACTGGAAAAGATCTGCTGGGAAAGATTGAGGGCAGGAGGAGAAGGGGGCGACAGAGGATGAGATGGTTGGATGACATCATCGACTCAATGGACATGAGTTTGAGCAGAATACCGGAGATAGTGAAAGACAGGGAAGCCTGGTGTGCTGCAGTCCATCGGGTGCAAAGAGTCAGACACGACTTAACAACTGAACAACAACAAACACACAAGATACAACCAACTGGGACTCTCACACACTGCTGGGGGGTAGTCACTTTGGAAAGCAATTTGGCAATTTCTCAAAAAAGTTTAACAAAACCCTACTATATAATCTAGTCATTCCACATCTAGGTACTTTCCTAAGAGAAATGAAAGCACATGGGCCTAGAGTTGCCCTGAATGTTCACAGAAGCTATATTCATAAAATCTCCAAACTAGAAACAATCGAATGTTCTTGAATGGATGAATAGACAAATAAATTGAGTCAGGTTCCTACTGCGGACTCAGCTATAAAAAGGAACTACTGACATGTCCAACAACATGGACAAATCTTAAGAACTTTATGCACAGAGAAAAGCTACTATATGACTTCATTTATAAGCCATTTAGAAAAAGACAAAACTCTAGGACAGAAATCCAGAGGTTGCCAGGGGCTGAGTGTGGGAGGAGTGATTGACTTCAAAAGGGATAAGAGTGAACTTTGGGGATGAAGCCAATACTGTCTGGATCATAATGATGCTTATGCAACTATATATTTGGTAAAACTTGCAAAATGGCAAACCTAAATTTTATGATATGTCAATTACATCTTAATAAACCAGACTTTAAATTTTTTATGATTATTACCATACTCAGAGAATGTTCTCTCTTTTTAAGCAAAAGTGTACCATTAAAAGAGAGAAATGAGGTATTATTTATGCTAATTTCTTCTAATTCATACATGACTTAAGTACCACAATTTTGTATAGAGAGAGCTATAAATAATGTATCTCACTCACATGGCACGGTCTGTACATCGCATCTGACCGGGAACTTTTAGAGTCACTGCTTCTAGAACAGTCCCTGCACAGAATCAAGATGAGAAAAGTAGTCGTGAGTATTAATTCTCTGCTTCTCACTCACGCAGCTGGGGGAGGTAAGCACAGCCATTTCCTAAATGCAAAGGAAATTATTTCCATTTCCTAAATGCAAAGATACAAATGTGCAAAGATGAAGCTAGAGCTTGGTAAAGGTCACACGGCAAATGGGTGGCAAACCCTGAATTTGAATCCACATCTTTTTACAGAGAAAACTGTCAATGTTCCTCAATCTTCTCTCCAGAAACCAACATGGAAAGCGTGGGGCAAGAGCTCTGGATGGAAACGTAAACCAGTTGAAGGGAAGTCGATGAGCGGGGCCTGAGCCTGTTTACAGACCTGTGGGCTATTTCGGGTGCTTTCCACAGACGGCTCAGCTGCCGTGACGCCGCCCACGGCTCAGCCGGAGCCTGCGCCGTGGCACCGGCCCAGGTGTGACGGGAGCCAGGACTCACCAGATGCTGCGCTGCTTTGCTCTGACGAGCCCTGAAGCCGAAAGAGCCCCTCTGAGGACAGACCGCCTGGCCCCCAGCCCCGCTCCAGCCCGCGCTCCTGTGGCTCCTCAGGACCCGAGGCAGGCTGCCCTGAGAATCTTCTCGTGTGGATAAGCTGACGCCCGTGTCCCCACCCGGTGGGATTTCGTTAAGGGGCATTTTACTCAAGAGCTCTGAGGAAAACGAAGTTCTGTGGGAGATTCTGGGCTGAACAAAGAGTTATGGTTATGGGTTGAGTTGTCCCCCAAAGAAAAGGTATTCCCCCCGACAAAGGCCCATTGCCGGCCCCATAGAGAGCCTGCTCCTGTTCAGTGGATGAGTGAATGAATGAATGAATGAATGAGCCCCTGACTGGCAGTGGTGTCATCCGACTGTCGGATGGCTAACCCTCCACCCCCAGGGCCTCACCCCACAGAGAGGCACCGTGGGACATTGGCTCGCCCCTCCTCATCTCCCATCCTCCCTACCCCTGCATACGAGAGTTTCACCACACTAGTTTACACTAGCTAATTTATACCACACTAAATGTCCTTGCTTCCTCTCCTCTTGGCCTTTGCACATGTTGCACCCCCTCTCCCATCCCAAACCCACTTTCTGTCCCAGGGTGGATGACCGTCCTCCCCCGTTGTGGCCCTTGGGCTGCGAGGCTTCTTAACTACACAAGTAGAGGGGAGCTGTTTCCTCCCTAGCCAGATCAGAGGTTCAGATCCAAATCAGCCTGATATGGTGGAACTTTGACTCCACCTGAGAAACTCCAATACTTTGGCCACTTTGGCCACCTGATGTGAAGAGCTGACTCATTGGAAAAGACCTTGATGCTGGGAAAGATTGAAGGCAGGAGGATAAGGGGACAACAGAGGATGAGATGGTTGGATGGCATCACTGACTCAATGGACATGAGTTTGAGTAAACTCCGGGAGTTGGTGATGGACAGCGAGACCTGGCGTGCTGCAGTCCATGGGGTTTGCAAAGAGTCGGACATGACTGAGCAACTGAACTGAACTGAACTGAACAGCATCCATAGTTAAGAGACTACCAGCCTCTCCCATGTCATTATCAGGGATGACGTCAAAGCCCTACCATTACAGCTGTTATGACATGGTCACCTCAAGAATCTACCATAATTGACTGTCTTAAGCTCTTTGCCTCAGCTAGTCCCCATGAGTTTTGCAACTTACAGAGGAAGGAAATCAAACTTACAGAGAGTCGATCTAGGACAAATTTACCCCTATCTGTAAAGAGGACAGTTAGCAGTGAGGTCACAACAGGTTGGCACTCGAGTAGCGCTGTCAACCAGCTAAAGCAAAGGCAGTGTGATAGATGCTCTATGGAGGCCCCAGGGTGCTCTGTGCAGAAGGCCAACAGCACAGAGAGAAAACACTTAACACTTAAAACTAAGGAAAGAAGGCGCTCCTTAGTGCACAGGGGAAAGTACCTGGATGGCAGAGGAATAGCTAAGGCAAGGCAGTAAGAGGTGTGAGCATGGGTACATGAAGTCCCTTAACAAACAAAGATTAAATATACACAGGGGAAGAAATACAATAAAAAGAACCCTATGGTAACACAGGTTTATTATAGCAAGCATTAAATTTACCCAGCTCTAACTTTCCTGGAAATCAAAGCATACAGGAAATTCACTAAATTATATAACTTTCACTGCTTGATGTAAGTAAGTACACAGCTTGTCAAGGAATTGTATCTTCCAAAAGCTCTACCTGGCATATATTTGGTTTTAACATCAAAAGCAATTCAAAATTAAAAGCAAGATGGGTAGAATTTGTCCACTGTAATATCTTAGGAAATCTTAACAACCTATATATGTTAGGGCTAATCGCTCAGTCATGTCCGAATCTTTGCAACCCCATGGACTGTGGCCTATCAGGCTCCTCTGTCCATCAAATTCTCTAGGCAGGAATACTATAGCAGGTAGCCAATCCCTTCTCCAAGGGATCTGCCCGACCCAGGGATCAAATCTGTGTCTCTTGCATTGCAGGCAGATTCTTTACTGTCTGAGCCACCAGGGAAACCCTACATGTGTTATGGGGGACAATAAATAATATAATTCTAAACAGAATCCAGCACAGAACCATATTACAGATAATTAGGTACCTAACCATACCTTAACACCGCTAACACTTAAATTACTTAGGGTTTAGTCTAGCTGCCGTGTCAGAGGCCCCTGAATACAGTGACTTAAAATAGAAATGTTTCTCTTTCACATAACATTCTGAATGCAGGCAGTGGGCCAAGGTTGGCAGGTATCTCTGCTTGATGGGGTCATTTAGGGACCCAATTTTTTTCTGTCTTGTGCTTTGCCATCCCAAGGCTGTCATCACTGTGCATGGGGAACTCTGGCCCCTCAGAACAACCTCAACAGTCCAACCCAGGAAAGAAAGAGCAGGGCAGGAAATTTACATACTGTAAAAAACAAGTTGATCTTCTAGATAAGACAAACCATTGATATAAAAATAATCATCTGGTTGAAAAATCATAATAATTTGGAAATGGCATGTACCACTTCCTCTCCCACCCTATTGGCCAAAAGTTAATCACATGGACACAGCCTCCAGGGAGGCCAGGAAATGTGGTCTGTGGCTGAGGTTAGGGTGGACATATGCCTGCCTACAACTCACAAGCTGTTGTTGCCAAAAGCAAAAAGGGCCATTAGCCTCTGCTGCAGCATCTAAATACAGGTATTCACAGAGAGAAACCAACTGAACAGCAAAGGATTAAGTGGCTCACTAAGGCAGTGAGCTCATCTGTCCCAAGACTTTCTATTTCTCTCAGAGAAAAAAAATACTTTTGCTGCTGACCCTCAATTATGAGTAAAGAAAAGAGAGCATTAGAACAATTGAGGGAGACTTCCATAAACCCTGCAGACAATGATTCACATTTCTACTCCTCTGAGCCCTCTGCCAAGAGAAAGGCCCACGTATGCAGGTGGTCAAGGTAACAAGCTGATGTCCCCTTCTTCTCACTTATGCCAAACGTGGGTGATGTTTAAACACCATCCGACTGCCTCACACCATCTAACCCATCCCACGCCTTCCTCAGACTCTGAAACCCTCAACGGCCCCAAGAGGGCAGCAGCTTGGAATCCTTGTGTGGAGGTGGCATCAACAACCCAGGCCCCGCTGTCCCCAGGAAGGTGTTTCTGTGGATGAAAGGCTCTTCCCCACCATGAGCGGGACCAGGGGTTAAGGAGTGGCTCTGTGACTCACTGAGAAGCAGAGCGGCTGCCTGGAGGGCACCAAAACAGGAGACGATCGGGAGGGAATCACATAGCTGCAAGCTGAGCTGGCATTTGATGCGGCTCCAGGGACTGACGGCAGGAATTCTGCACTCTCCCACCCAGGGCACCTCCCTGGAAGGGAATGAGCCCAAGCACCTGAAGGGCACCCCTCTGGAGGACACCGTCTATGCAGCAGCAGAGGCGCCAGCCAGGTGGGCCTGGATCCAAGACCACAGACAGAAGCCTTTGTGATAATCTGGTTGATGTCTCCCTTCTCCCCAGAGACTCCAAGTTCTGTAAGAGTAGGGGTCACACCTGTCTTCTGTCCTGCTATGTCCTGCTACATCAGTAAACCTTGGTTGACTGACATCCTCTCAACTCTCAGGCCCACATGAAGCCACAGTGCAAGAATGTTTATTGGCTATCTGCTACCTGCCGAGAACTGAAACGAGTGTTTTCCCATATGGTATTTTCGTTCATTTTAACAATATTGACAGCTAGGGATTATCCTCCCCATTGAGACAGAACCCGGTGAGCCCAGAGCCCCTCCCAGACACTGTTCTCGTCTCAGGACTACTGGGTTTCAGCAGAGGCAGACCCCAAAGAGAGCTCAACCTCTTCAGCACACAGCCAGTCCCTTACCTAATCCTCACACAAACCCTGTGGCCTGCGAGTCCATTTTCCACATTTTTCAGAAGAGGAGACAAGCTTGGAAGGGTTAAATACAACTCACCCAAGTCCCTCAGCTACAGGCACCAGAGTTGGGTATGAACCCAGGTCAGTCTGACTCCCAAGCACCAACTCCTTCCACCTATGTGGACTCAAGACTTGACCTTTTCTGTAGACGGAATCATGTCCCTCCCACAAAATTCATGTGTTGAAGCCCATGTAACTGTAGAGGTTGTGGCACCTTTAAGGAGGTGATGAAGATCAAATGAGGTCATGAGGGTGGGCCCTCACCTGGTAAGACTAGCCCTTCTAGGAAGTGGCTCTCTCTCTCCATCATGTGAGGACGCAGCAGGAGGTGGTCGTCTGCAAGCCTGGAAAAGGGTCCCCACTGGAAACTGACCATGCTGGCACCCCAGTCGCAGAATTCCAATCTCCAGCACTGCAAAGGAAAATAATTTCTGTTATTTAAGCCACTCAGTTTTAGGGCATTTTGTCACATCAGCTTGGACAGACTAATGTAAGATCTTTTCTAACACGAAATAGCTCAGAGTTGAATGGAGCAAGCGTGGAAGGAAGGATTCCTTTCCCCATTGTTCAATATTTTAAGGGGAAAAAATAGCCTTACTATCTCCCAAGGACAACACAGGGTTTATAGAAGAAATGGGAATTGCTGGAGGGCCAGGCCTGCTGGTTTAACTTCCTCATCAAGAATTTATGGGGCATAAGCACTCGCCAGGAGAGTCCAGAATCTCTTAAAGCAATTCCTCCCAGTCTGAAGAGCCTGCCTTATAAACGCCTGGCCCTCCTCACCCCTCTCTCTAGGGGGCAATGCCTGTTCCCTCTGGAAGGTGGCAGTTCTGCCAAGAGTTGCTCAAGCCTTCCCAGATACACAGAGTGCTCAGAACACCGAGGAAGGGGATTGGCGTCTCCCCAGTTTCCGAGAGACGGAACTGGAGTTCCTTGCAGTGGGGGCGGTGGGAGGGGTCCCCGGACTTGCTGAGTAACAATCCTTGAACTCTATCTCTCATCTTAAGACATGAGTTGAAAACCTGTCTCCTATGTCAAAATACAATGTAAGGAAGTATGTCTGAATAAATCGTGTTAAATAAGTGAATCAATTCGTGGGCAAACAATTACATCCAAAATGACAACTAAATAATTAGAGCTATTTGAACACCATGTCAGACAGAGAGAGAAATAACACAAAAATAAAGAGGAGTGAGGAAGAGAAGAAGGAGGTGGGAAAAGTGAGAGAAGTGCGTTTTCCTCTCTGTTGACCTGCGGCTCCATCAGTCCCCCTCCCAAGTCAGTCTGTCTGCTGTCAATAATGGAGGCCGGGGCAGGGGGCCAGCACTGGGTGAGGGGCTGAGACTCAGAAAGAATTCCATCAAAGCCTCCTTGAGGTTCACCGCATTCTGTCCCATCCCTGCTGAATTGTGCTGAGCAAAGCAGTGTCTGAAAATGGGAGGGTCTCGTCTCTGGGCTCAGCCAGTGGTCTATCACCATGAACACACAGCAGGGCTTCAGGGTCCTCCAGCACTCTGATGGTACCCTCCTGGGGACATTCCAGGTTTGCTGGTAAACTCCAAGTTTGTGCTTCTACATGCCACGTCTCTCTGATGCCTCATAATACCTTTAGGAAGAAGGTATTGTAACCAGCTTCATTTTACAGGAAAGGAAAATAAGGCTCAGAGAGGCTCATTAACTTTTCTAACTATATAGTGAGTGACCACGCCAGATTTGAACTCAGATCTTCTTGGCTCCAAATCCATTGCTCCTGCCACCCTTCCAATTTACCTCCCAGTTCTGTGTCCCATCCCTCCTTTATATACACGTATACAAGTCTAGACATATTTGGAGCTGGGCACAATTCAGACTCACCTTGACTCTGAGTGTGTTAGCCGTGTGTGCCCCTGGAAGGAAATTATTTGAACCTGTTAACAAAGAGGATATAAAAGGATAGAATTTAAGCCTGGGAATGAGCCTTGTAAATCGCTGGGCCACCCCATTGTGGGTTGATGCCAAGGTTGAGGTGAATCACTGAGTGTCTACCAGCAGGAAACAAGACTGGGAGCCCAAGTTCACACCGACAAAGACTTCTCAGGCTCTTTCATAGGAGAAAATCCCCCAGCCCTGTCCCTTTCACATCCCACCATATCCAAAAGCCTCCACTTCTCCAACAATAAATATAACTTAAACACATTTGATGATTCACAGCACAGAATAGAAAGACACCCCACCATCCTAGCGGGTACTGGCTCTGCCAAAGCAAACCCTCAAGGCTTTCAGCAGCATCACACACCCTTTTTCAAAAGTGAGTTCAGCCTTCTCAGTAGACGTTTAGCCAGAAATGAAGTTTCGAATCTACATTTTGAACTCCACTGGAAATAGAAATGCGTTTGCTTTACCACAACACGTGACCTAGCTCATTTCTGAGCTCTTTGCATGATCCTGTTTTTTCATGGATGTGGTACAAGGGGGTAAGACATGAGATTTATATGTAATTCTCTTATAAATGTTTTCCCAAGGATATCTAATTATCCCATTCAAACTCAAGTACATTGTCTTCTAAGTTTCCAAGTGGCTTAATAATAGAATTGTTTCATTAACTCTGATACATGCTTGGGAATCAAGCAGAAAAATTAGAGAAGAGCTAGAAAAACAAACAGCTGCAGTCTCATGTATTTCTGAGTTCTAAACACTCACGGACTTGGCAGCTGAGGTTGTTTGATCAAAAAACCATTGCTGGGAGCCCTTTGGTTAATGGAATGTCTGCTGTCCCTGCTCCTCCCACGCCAGCCCCTCCATCCCCCTCCCTCCCAGAGGTGGAAGTCATCCTGTCTCTCCCAGCCACTCTCACCTACTTTCTTCCCATCATCAGTAAACTGGGCTCCACTCTCCTGGATAATAAATGACAGAACTGGGAAGACATCCACCCTCCTGCTCCGGCATCCAGTCTGTGACCATGACTCGTGTAGGTTGCTTCTCCATCTCATGTAGAGACCAGGGTGGTGTGAATCACTGTGTCTCTCCACTTTGGTTGCACAGAGGAAACAAGAACCCGGAAGCAGAAATGACTTGACCCAGATGACATCAGCCCCACCCCTCCTTCCCTCCCTGGCAGCTCTCAGGTGGAGGCCCACTGCCTGCCGACTGGGCTCCCTGCTGTATCACCCCCTCCTCCCACCTCCCCCACCACAGACAGTCATGGCTCACCCTCCCACCTGAACTCTTCAAGCTCTACCCAGGCCAGATCAAGTCCCCAACCTTTCACTTGGCATTCAGGGACCTGAGGATTCACACTCAATCTATCCTTCTCACTATTTGGGTCACAAACTTCCAAATGGGTGGTCTTCCAGGCCACCCTGCTTTTGTTTGCCCCGAGTCTCATCTCCTTGCAACTCAGACAACCAGTCAGCATCTTCCTGCACTCTGTGGCCCCTCCCTGGCTGAGTTGTCCAGATATCTCAGCGCGGGGCCCCCCGCCCCCAGCATCTGTGGCTCCCTGACCTGGCAGAGCCCTCTGGGAACATGCCTCCTCTCCCCTGGGCTGTGGGCTCTGCCAGGGTGGAAGCCACGTCCTATTTGGGGGCCCAAGCTTAGCACAAATCAGACATTGAACAATCAGGCACTATAGTGAATGAAGTGCCAGGCCTTTTTAAGAGGGATAGTTATCTGCATATTAAGTAATTTCCTCCAAATTGACACTAGAATTATTGTCTATATTGTGAAGGATTTCCAACTGAGTTGCTGAAATAAACTCTTTACCTTCTGGAGGTGTTGAGTAGGAAAATATTTGTACTTCGATTGTAGATAAGACCCAAGCTGAGGGCCTTCTGCAGAGAGTTACCGAGGAGTCCCCCATGAAAAGGGGTGCAGATCTCCCACTGGGGGTCCCTGAGCCAAGAGAACCATCCCTGCCCCTCAGGACCCCCCATCACCTCTTCCTCCAAGTAGAGACTGGACGGAGGGGGACAGGGAGAGGGACACACTTCCAGGACCGGGGCTCACAGCCCAGCAGAACTGGAAGGACACGTCTAAATAGAGCTCAGCTGCAGAGCAAGAGGGCATAGGCGCAGTCAAAGGGGACCCAGCCAATGCTATCAGAAGGCAGGGACCTGGCTCCGAGAAGAGGAGGCCTCTCATAGCTGGACCAAGGGCTTTCCACTCAGCCATCCCCAGCAAGCACCTCCTCATGGCCATCAGATAGGCTCCAGCCCATGCAGAGGGATGCTAGGCATGGAGGAGGAACATTTCCTCTTGGTAATGTCTTTTCTTAGAAACACCATTTCCAGAAATAACCTGCTGACCTACCCCCCCACCACTGGCCGAGAGTGGGTTTCATCCCACATTTAAACAATCACCAGCAAGGGAAACAGAATTATCATCACAACCAATCAACCTTAACTTCTTAGGAGACCCCAGGAAGCATGGAGCCCCCACAAGGGAACAAAACTGGGGTTCTGTTGAGGAGGAAGAAAGAGGGTAGTGGTTGTACCAACTACGAAACTAGAATCTCAGCCCAGCACACTCAGACCTTCCCAGCTGACTTGATCCTACACACACCCACCCTGTAGGGTGACATGACCTCAGCTGGAAGAGGCAGTGTCTGGATGGAGGACAAGTTCTCATCAGTGGCGTTAGAAAACCTGGATTTTCTAATCCGTTCTGATACTTGAGAGTCATCTGGCATTGGAAAAGTTACTTAACCTCTCTGAGCCTGTTTGGTCAACTGAAAATGGGATTATAATTCTTCACCCAGCTGAGGAATGGTGTGTGTGCTCTGTAAAACCGTATTCCACGTAAAGTGGCCACCTTGTCTTCTCACCAAAGCAGTGTAAAGATGATGATGATATTAATATAAGATGCAGCTGGTTGGCTGGCACCAGTGGTGGCTATTTTGGGAGGAGCGGTTACCAAGAAACACGAGGCTCTGGTAACCTTGACAACCATAGGTAAGACAGAAAGATGGCGCATTGACTTTCTGGATTCCATTCTTATCTCTTCCTCATGAAGCTTGGTATCTGGTGATTTGTTTGTTAGCTGAGGCATCTACCGGGGCCAGGCAGGGCCCAGCATTGGCCTGGCTGGACTACTCTTAGACAGAATGGTCCAGAGGAGCTCTGGAAGGACACAGACAAGTCCCTGCTTCCGAGGTCCCTGGGAAAAGTGCCCTATAGAAAGCACTGAAGCCTGGCTCCCTACAGTTCATGGCACCCTAGAAGTCCAGACTACACCAAACACTGTGTGCGGGAGCCAGGTGGTACAAGGCAGACCCTGGTGAGCAGTTACACACTCAGACAGCAGCTATATATAGGTGCAGGCAGGGCTGCCCAAGAAGGGGCAACAATGATGCTCCTTCATAAACTCAAAGTGTTTGAGGGCTTCCCTGGTGGCTCAGAT